GATGTCAGCTCACACCTCACTAAATGCTAATATTTTTATTTCATGATTTCTCCTTTTTCTTCATTAATCTATACAGAGGTTTATTGATGTTATTGATCACAATGAAGTAGAATTTGGTTTCACTGACCATGTGAAACCAAATGTATTATTTTCACATGTATTATTTTCATGTTTTCTGTTTCACTGATTTATGCTTTGATTTTTGTTATTTTCTTCACTTTTTCTTTCTTTAATCTTAATTTCCTATCTTTTTTTTCTAAGTTTACTAAGAGAATATGAGATTATTGTTTTAGGGCCATGTTTATTTTCTAATAATGAGTATTTAGTGTTTTGAGTTTCTCTCAATGCACTGCTTTTGCTGCATCTCACAGATAAAGTGCTGTGCTTTCATTTTCATTCAGTTCAGAATACTTTCTGAATTGTCTTTTGATTTATTGTTTGACTTGTGGGTTATCAAGAACGATTTAGTGTCCAAATACTTAGAAGTTTTCTAGAGGCCAGCAAGTGGCATGGTGGTTAAGGCACTGGACTCCCACATGGCAAATTGCTGTTTGAGTCCCAGACCTGGTGGCTTACTTTCTAATTTTCTCGCTCTCTCTCTTTCTCTCTGTCTCTCTCTAGTGAATTTAAAATAATAATAAATAAAATTTTTAAAAAGGAAAGAAATTTTCCAGGTATCATTCTGTTACCTATTTCAAATTTTGTTTCATTGTAAAAGAATCCTTGTATGACTCACATCTTTATAGTTTACTCAGATTTGTTAATGATCTATCTTGGCAAATGTAGCATATGTACCTACAAAAACATGTATCCTGATATTTTTAGATGGAATGTTCTGTACATGTCAATTGAATCAAGGTCTTTGATGATGTTCTTTAAATTGTCCATGTCTTTACTGGCTTTGTCTTTGCTCCTCCTGTAAAATGGAGAATGGGAAGGGGGCAATGAAAAGCAACTACAGATACCAGAGACAGTGTGGGAGGAGGCTGGGAAATGGCAGAGGGTAAGAAATGGGAGGGAAATACACTCACACACACACACACACACACACACACACACACACACACGAAATGGGAAATTATTTGTTGATAATATGTATGATTAAGCCACTATACAGTGTATCCTGGTTGGGAAATCTCATTTTGTGTTCAGCGAATGAATGTAAAATAAATAATTTTTTTTTAAGTTAAAAAATTTATTTGCTCTTGGCCAGTAGGTGCTGTGGTGGTTAAGACACTAGATTCAAACATGGCCAACTGCAGTTTGAACCAGGCAGCTGCAGTACCCAACTGGAGAGCCCAATCCTAACAAAGTGAGAATCCCTGTGCATCTGTGATGGGCCCAGCTCTGTCCTTTTAACTGGAAAGCCTAAACCTCTGCCCCAAAGCTCTCCTTTCAGCCCAACTCCTAGCGAAACAAGGTAGGCTGGTCTCTGTCTTCTCTCTGCCTCCGTCTGTCTCTCTCCCACTCCCTTTCTCTCAGAACTTTTCTTTTATAGATATATATGTTTTTTAAAAAATATGTAACTACTGTCTCTTGTCTCTGAACTCTCCATTCTCTTGCTAATTTCAGAATCCACGTGCAGGTGGGCCCAGCTCTAAGAGCACCATGCGATTTTCTTTTTTTTTTTGCCTTTTTTTAAGAAAAATTTTTTTTCTCTTTTCATTTGTCTTGTATTTGTTTTACTTTTTTTTTTAATCTTTTTTCCCTTTTTTCCTTTTCTTTTACTTAACTTTCTCACCTTGCTTCTCAGTTTCTACACTTTGAGTGTCTAGACAGGTATAGGTGCACAGTAGTGAAACATCTGAATACTTTTAGGATCATAGAAAACCTTAACCCCCACTGAACTGCTCCAGAAAGGGAAAAAAACTCATCTTCATTAATCTGAATTCAAATCTCTTTCTATGGATACCGTGTTGCAAAACACAGTAGTAGTGGCAAAATAGGCATAGAAGTACTGTGGTGAAGCATATGAACTCACAATAGCAGAAATCTCCAACAAGTTAGCCAAATGTGAATACATCACCAAATGACTGAAAGTCAAAGAATAGAGACTACAAAGTGAGCACCAGGGAGAAACATGGAGCTGCAGAGAGCGCAGCTCATCTCCTCCCAACACCTCTGAATTCTTGGTTGAAACCCTGCACCTCAGTCTCAGTGCACCTATTCCCTAGAAACTGTGAGGCCTTCCTTTGTAATATCCAGTTCCGTGAACAGCAGGTGGTGTGGTGATTAAGGCAGTGGATACTCCCACATGGTCACCCACAGTTCAAGTCCTGGACCTGGTGGTTTGCTTTCTCACCTTCTCCCTCTGTGTGTGTGTGTGTGTGTGTGTGTGTGTGTGGTCAAATTAAAATAAATCAAAGAGTAAATAAAATTAAATAATTCTTCTAAAAAATCCAGTTCCACTGACAAAAGTGCAGGTTGCTTGGTGAGGATACGGGAAATAGAACTACAAAAATATTGCAGGTCATCTCCTGCCACACACCTCTAACACTCAGAATTAACTCCAAGGAAGTAGGGAGTAACATATAATCCATCAGATGACCAGAAATCACCACAGAGGCACAAGAAATATGGAAAACCAAGAAAATATCTCTCCTCTAAGGGGAAAGAATAGCCCTTCGTCTTCCACAGACAGTACAATGGAACTCATGGAAATGTCAGATAAAGAATTTAGAATATTCATAGTTACAAAGCTAACAAATGCAGGAGAAGAGAGACAGTGAACTCCAACAGATGCAGGAGAAAAGAGACAGTGAGTACCAGGAGGTGAGAAAGTTCTTGCGTGAACTGAAAGAGGAAAAATACATATAATAAAAAAGAATAGAAGGAACTGTTAGAGATAAAGGCTCTAGTACAGGAAATTGAAACCTCCCTCAAAAGTATTAAAAGCAGATTAGATCATGCAGAAGATCAAATCTCAGATGTAGAAGACAGAACCTCTGATCTAGAAGAATTTACCAGAAAGACTGAGAAAAATAACCCCTCCCAAAAAGGAGAGAATAATATACAAGTAATACTAGATACCATTAGATGCCCAAACATCCAGATAATTGGTATCCCAGAAGGTGAAGAAATTAATAAGGGCATTGATAATAAATTCCACGAAATCCTGGAAGAAAACTTTCCAAACCTAGAGAGGCCTTCAAATATCCAGACCCAAGAAATACAAAAGACCCCACATAGATTCAACCCAGGAAGTCCTCTAAGGCACATCATAGCCAGATTGACCAAAACCACAGAGAGAGACAAGATACTAAAATTGGCAAGAGAGAAATGTCAAGTTATTTTCAAAGGATACCCCATCAGGCTAACACTGGACCTCCCGTTGGAAACAGTGCAAGCAAGGAAAGAATGAGAAAATATATTCAAAGTGTTAAGTGAAAAACAACTTCAGCCAAGAATACTGTATCTGGCAAGATTATCCCTCCTATGGGAGAAGAGCCCAAAACATTCTCAGATAAACAAAACCTGAAAGAATTTACCAACACCAGACCAGCTCTTCGAGAAGTTCTGAATGGGGTACTATACTAGGAAAACTAGGAACAGAAATAAGAGAACAAAAATAACCAAGAAAAAGGCCAACTTAATGGTAGGGACAAGTTTGGAAATATCAATAATAACAATGTTGATTTTCTTAATTTAAATGGAAGATCATACCACAGTAACACTGTAAGTTCAACAAAAGAGAGATTACATGAGCGTGAACTGGTGAAATAGAATTCTATGACATTTGTCTAAAACATTACTGATTTTCTCCTATGCATTGTCTTACAGATTTAAGGATTTGAGTTATCCTGTGAGTTGTTGATAGGTTCAGCAATTTGTTAATTTTTTTAAAAATTTGAAACATAAACGTTTCTCATTCCTGACCCCTTTGCAGTTAGAAAATGTTTGTGAGCATTCTTATTTTGTGACAGAATGGTATTTGGATAAATTGAATAATACAATAGTATCTGTTGCCTTGTATCAGAAATTATATTCTTATGGGGCTTTGTGCAAATAACAGACCAGAATGAGATTAACCTAATTATTTTTGCAAATAAGTCAGTTTATACCTCTCTTTAGTAAAAGTGGGAATGGAGAGAGAAAAAAATGTTTCAAAAGAAAATTATAGTGCTTTTATCACTAGGTTCTAGCTTTGTTCATATTTTTAGTTTAAGGCATTTTATGAATCAATAAAATGTGAAAAAAAAGTTTAGTATGGAAAGGAGGGAGGGGAGAGAGGAAGGAAAAAAGTAAAAATATGCTTAATTGACCAAAAAAAGAGAAGCTATTGCTGATGATAAGGTATAAAATATCTTCATCTTGACTGACATACATGGTATTTGAGCTGGAAAAAAGTGATGTTGTACACTGTAAAGACATGTGATTAAATGTAAATGAATAAATAAATAAAAAAAGAAAACAAACAAAAATTATTCTGGGAACGTGTGCACTTGTGCTCAAAATCCTAGGAGGATGGAGAAGACAGGATTGTGGCCACTCCTCCTAGGGAGTGAGGAGATTTCTCACTTCGCCTCTCACTGTCTCTCTTGGGAGCACATGTGCCCTATGGTAAAAACTTTTTTAAAAAATTTAATTTGCTCATAGAATGTATGTGGATACTACTGTTATTTAGTACTGACATCATATTTATTAAGCTATTATGACCTGATGTGCTCCCAGAAATCTTAATTGGAACATTCCTAAAGCACACCTTTAGTATTGAAAAGCAAATATGAAGTGTTCCCAGTGAATACCCTAATTTATTTCACAGTTCTTTGATCCTTCCATATGTTTTATGCTTTATCTAATTTAATTCTTCTACAGGCCTAGGAAGTAAGCAGTGAAATTACAATGCTCATTTTACAGACAAGAAAATCAAGGCTGATAGGTTGAGTAACTCGTCTAAAGTCATACTCTAAAATGTTTGGTTTAATTGGTTTCATTTATAAGATGTGTCCATTTGGCAGAAATGGCTTACATTTTGGAAATGAATGTGTGTTTATTTCCAGCTCTGTATGGCACTCCCTTTCCAACAGATGAACCTACAGACATTATTCCACGAAGCTGCCAACTAACGACAGATGTTCCTCATGTCACACAGCTGCTAAACATGACAAAACTCCGCCAAACTGAAATAAAATTTGGAGGTCATCCTCTGAGATCAGCAGAATCAGGTATGTACATAAGCACCTAAATTATAAGCCCCGTTATTTTTGTAACTCCCTTGTATGGTGTGACTTCCTCTAAAGAGAGTACTGTAGCTCACTCTTCATATCCCAAGCCCTTAACACGGTAATTGCCATATACCAAGGTAGGAGCTGCAAACTCAGATTGCTACTGAGGCTTGGAAGATAATAGAAATGAAAAAAGAGGGCTGGTTGCCTGGGTATTTGATACAGAATCGTGTTCTACTTCAACAGTGAGACTTAGTAGAGGAGAAAGGGATACATGTTAAGGAAGAGGGGTAAGGAGGTGCTTCAGAGAAATGACTCACCTGCTACTGAAACACTAACTTTTTTTAAAAACATTTATCTATTGGGAACCAGCAGTTAGCGTAATGGCTATGTCACTGGACTCCCACGTAGTCGACCGCGGTTCGTGTCCCGGACCCGGTGGCTTAAAACTCACGCCGGGCGCGTGTGCATGCGTGCCCAAGATCCCGAGAGGAGAATGGAGGAGAAGGGATTGCGGCGTGACCATCCCCCCTGGGGGGTGATTTCTTGCTTTCTGTCTCTATGTCTCTCTCTGTCTGTCTGGCGAGCGCACGTGCCCTACAGTGAAAATCTCTCCAAAAAAAAAAAAAAAACATTTATCTATTTATTTATTTTGATTATGGAGCCACCACAGGGGACTCAAACCCCATTTTGCCATGTGGAGTTTTAACTGCCCTGAAATAGTAACTTTTAACAATTCTTCAAATGATACAATAAATGGCAGTTAACAAGCAGCCCATGTGAAGGAGCTGAAGGGAGTGGTGGGGATTGCAGCCAACTCTGCTTGTTCAATGTCCATCTGGAAGAGGTAGCAGCAGTTTAGTTCTTGCAAGTGTTGCCTTGCAAGCATGCAGACTCAGTCTCACCAGATTTTCCATTGTTCCAAGAAGAATTGGGTATCTAAATGTTTATGGTAGATTCCTCTCATTCTAAGTCTGTATCTAGATATTTTAGGTATCTTTTTTTTTTTTTAAAGAGGTTTTTGCTATAGGGCATGTGTGATCGCCAGAGAGAGAGAGAGTCAGTGAAAAGGAAAGTGACAAATCACCCTCAGGGGGATGGTCACACCATAGTCCCTTCTCCTCCATTCTCCTCCTGGGATCTTAGGCACACAGGCACACACACTGGCATGATTTTGAAGTCACTGGTTTTGGGACTTGAACTTTTGTTGGTGATATGGGAGACCAGTAACGTAACCCCTGTGCCACTTGCTGGTCCCTAGATATTTTAGGTGTCATTTTCATTTAAAGTTCAAGGACATTTATAATGGGTGAGATTAAAGATAATTTGAATAATTGTTTGTTTGTTTGTTTTTGCCATGGGGCATGTGGGTTTGCCAGAGAGAGACAGAGCAGGGAAAGTGAGAAATCACCCCCAGGGATGATGGCCATGTCATACTCCCTTCTCCTCCAATCTCCTCTCAGAATTTTGGGCATACACACATATGCACCTGGCATGATTTTCAAGTGGCCAGGTCCAGGATATGAACCACAGTCAGCCATGTAGGAATCCAGAACCTTAACCACTAAGCCACCTGCCAGCACCAAATAAATATTAATTTTATCTTTAATTCAGTGTTTTATTTAAACAGAAACTTTTCCATAAACCATATTTGAACCTAAACTGTAGAGGAGAATAAATAGTATATATTTTGTAGATTCTATAAATGAGCTCTCAATGCATAATGATAGTCCATTTGAATTACACATACTGAAAATTAGTAATCGCCATCTAATAGCACATTTCCTTTGTCCTAGAATCCCAATTATATTTATATTCATTTGTAAGTGTAGGGTTTGCTATCATTCCTATTGAATGATCTCATTGCACATGTATTGCACCAAAAATGATACCATCGTACTTTGCACTTTGTGGTTCTCCCTCTGCAAATGCTTTTCAGTTGCTGATTTTGTACACGTGTGGGCTTTGAAGCCTACTGTAAGTGAGTATAATAATAATTCTCTACATCAGATATTTTATTTGAAAGGTGTAGCTAATGAATAATGCCCAAGAATAGACTTTTTAGTCATGGAAAAGCCAGGATATATTTCTTCATTTAAACTATTTGTTTTTGTGTCTTTCTCAAAAGTGGACTCCCCATGATGAGATTTGAATTGCATGAGAAAATAACTGTGTGCTCTTATAATTCACTGTATAGTACTCATGTAAATTGTGGTATTTTACTGTAAATGCACATATTGGCAGATCCCAATGAAGCCTTCAGAGAGAAGAAGTAGCTGTTTCTTATGGTTTCTAGTGTTTTTATACAAGACAAAAAGGAAACTTAAAACTCCTAACTGTTTTGGAGTGCAGTTTGTTGAGTGTCATAAAACGTGATCAAGAGCATTTAATGAAATTAATAAAATCATTGTGTTTCCAAAACACTAGTGTTTTCAAAAAGCCACATATTCATATTATTCATGCTGTCAGTTCCCAATGCACGTTAGCTAATGACTGTTAGTCTGCCGAGGACTGTGGAATCTGATGATCTTATTTTCATTAATGGGGCCCCAGTTTAATTGAACCAGAGAATCAGGCCTGGTTATTGAAGTTGAGCATTCAGCTACTAATGACAAGATGCAGTGGCCCACTAAGCACAAATCAAAACTAGTAATTTACTTAAAAATTAGAAGGCACTTTTCCCAAGTGTCCCCCTTTCCACAACAGCAGTCTTATTAGATTTTTATTCCTTTTTAAATGAGACTGACATCCCTAGCTCCTAGCACAATTGCAAATGAGTAAATTAATGCATCTCGCAAAAAAAAAAAAAAAAAAAAATGAAATAATCATCTAACCATCTTTGGCATTGGTGAGATCCTCATTAGAATTTCTTCTTTAGATTCCAAATTATGAAAGGAAGATTTAAATCAAGTAACAAAATCTACTGTGAAGTAGAAAAACTTAAAAGGAAAAAGAGTTAGATTCTGACTTCAGAAAAACTCAGACACTCTTTATTTCCTTCCTTTGTAAACTCAGACTTTGGTTAGTCTTGTTTTAGAATTATTGGTTAAGAGGGCCCATAATTTTTAGTTCCAGTGCCTGATAATAATTCAAAATAAGCTGATACATTTGAGTTATATATCCTCTTTATCCATCTTTAATAAAAATGAAACATAGTTGGTTATTTTTCTTTATTAATTAATTTTATCTGCTAGAGAATGCATACACTCACCAGAAAGAGATAGGGAGATAGGGAAA